GAAAAGGGCTGGCTCAGCACTGCCCTGGCACGGTGCGGCTGGGCTGTGGGGTGCCCCGTGGTGCCCAGAGATCCCCCCAAGCCCCACAGCACAGCTCTCCCTTGGGGCAGATGCACGGGGAAAGGCCCCCAGCTCCAGTCAGTGCCAACAGCTGCAGCTGGCACCTGGCAAGAAGGTAGGGACCAGGCTGGTCCCTTTCTCCAGGCTGCTCCACTGGCTTATGGGACGTATCCCAAGGTGGGGTGACCCAGGAGTCATGTCCCCCATATCCCCCAAACAGCCCAATGGCAGCTGTGCAGCACAAACATGCCCTGTGTGTGGTGTCCCCCACACTTCTTCCACCCCTCACCTGGGCGTGGGAGATCACCAGGCTCTCCACAGGTTGTGGGTCCCTGAAGACCTGGACCTCCTCCACGATGTGGATGCCAGAGCCCACCACCACGGCCTTGTGGATCCAGCCGTCCCCTGGAGAACAGCCAGGGGGAGTCAGGAGGGAGTGTGGTGTGCAACCCCCCACCCCGCCCAGCAGAGACCCAGCAAACTCATCCCGTGCTCACCCGTCCCCAGGAAGAGCACATCATAGGAGAGGCCGTCGAGGGCCCGCACCCTGTCCACGGCCAGCTGGCTGTACGCCACGCTCTTCTTCACCAGCAGCGGCTCCCCGCCGGCCGGCTTCACCTCCTCGAACATAAGCGGGTGCAGCTTGACGAAGTCCAAGACGCTGTTAGGCAGGTCCTGCGAGGAGTTGTAGCCCTTCCTGCGGGAGTGGTCCGTGATGCACTGCCCGGGGGGAGACAGGGGTCAGGGGGTGGATGTGGCCACCCCACCCCACCCCCAGCTTCGCACCCTCAGGGCACTCACAGAGCCGGGCCTGGGCTCAGGCACCGCACCATCATAGCGGGACCACTTGCGAGCCGAATCCTGGTACTCCATGTAGGGGCCCTCGAAGGCGCGCTGCACCGCCGAGATGCTGTAGCGGCACACGGCCGAGGCCTCCATGGTCCTCCTGGGGGGCAGAGCCCCGCCTGAGCCCGGGCAGATGCACGGGCGCACCCCCGGGTGCTCAGCGCCTGCCTGCGCACCCCCTTGAGCATCTCAGGTCCCCCCAGTGCCGCAGACGTGTAGCCCCGGGCATTTCGACCGCTGCCCCGCTCACCACTGTGCCGAGAGTGTGAAGGCGGCGTAGAAGACGGTGCTGGCCCAGCCGCCCCCGTCCAGGCTGCAGACGCTGCGCAGCACCTCGTAGTAGGGGATGTAGCAGACCAGGCGTGCCTTCATGAAGGACGTCCACTTGCGCTGCAGGATCTTCTTCCCCCCCACGTCACTCTGGCAGGGCGCAGGGAGCATTTCTGCACAGGCTGGTGGGGGGGATGTGTCCCCCTCTGCCCGTGCCTGTTTCCCCTAAGATGCAGGCACGCAGCCCCTGGGCCGGGAGGAGCAGCACTTGACTCCCCGTGGCTGAGGACATGCCTACCTTGCACACACGGGCCACACGGGCCACACGGGCCACCTGGCTCTTGTCAAAGAAGGATGTGGTCTCCTCACCCGCCCGCTCCGTGAAGAAGTAGTAGATTTTGTCATCGTCACCCACGGGGCTGTCCTTGCTCTCCCGGAGCAGCACAGAGGCCACAAATTCAGCATCTGGGGGACGCGGAGCGAGAGGTGGAGATTGGGGACCCACCATGGGATGGGTGATCCCTCGCTGCCCTGGTTTCCTTTCATGGCAAAGCACCCCCAACCCCTGCCCCCGAGGTCATGCATGGCATCCCATGGCCCATGACACCGGTCCTGGAGAGGGGGGACGGGGACATCTCACCGTTCAGCCAGTGCAGTGGGGACTCCTCCGTCTTCAGCGGCCGCTGGTGCAGGTTCCTCCGGATGTCGGGGAGGCTCCGAAACTCGTAGCGTGTGGCCGTGTACAAGCCGCCGTCTGGGCAGGGCAG